AATGGTGATGTGTGTTCTAGAAATCAGAAAATATTCAGTGGTCCAATTTACTAGTATTTTGAAAAACATTCGTTACATTTATGGATAAATTACACAGTATACATTCTGCAAAAGGCTTTAACAATTTTTAAGCTCTAATTGAACACACAGGTCTAAATCTATACGTGCTACTTTGTTCTAAAATTTCAGAGGTTTTTCATTAAATCAGGTTTGATGTATGACTGATCCCACCGGATGCTACATGTTCACTTATGCATTAAAATTCCTGTTGATGAAATTAGTTTTCAAGGAGAACAAGATGTTGATGCACAGTCAGATAAAACTCTGAATGTTTCACCAAAAGTACTCCTTTCGAGGTAAAGCATCACGAAGCCGAATAACGGGGAGAGAGTGTCCTCCCTGGGCATCTTATGCCATATTAGGTTTGACATTTGGTCTCCTATGTTAGAGTGCTCATAGGTGTAATTCATCTTCTCTAACAACTCAATTCCAATTCTGAAAACCAGCTTGCAGTAAAGGAAATGGAAAAGATACAATGTTATCAAAAATGGACTTGAGGCTGGAGAGATGGCTTGACAGTTAAGAGCACTTACTGCTCTGGCAGAGGACCTGGGTTCCATTCCTAGCTCCTACACTGCCAACTCACAATTGCCGGTAACTCCAGTTCCAGAGTATCTGATGCTCTCTTTCTAGCCACTGCAGGCACTGGCATGCATGTGATGCATACACATATATACCATGTATTTACATACACATGAATGTATACACACACAAATCTAAAATGTAACAGATCTTTTAAAAAGTTACTGTACAAATAACTGTAAATCTAAGGTAACAATATTTTGATATACTTTGCATTATTTGATGAATAAAAGACAGATAAAATTTGGAAAGTACTTATTTAAAACGGGATCCTCAGAAGGTATTTATAGGACCAGGTTTTTCTATCTTCTACAACAAAATCAGGCTGCTATTTTAGTTACATTTTAGTTACATGGCATTGTAAAGATCCTTCAAGCCCCTCATTAACTAAATGACTGCTATAGTATCAATTCATTAGAAGTCAATAATTAATAAATTCCATTTTAAAAATATTTTGAATGAATATTATTTTGTTATAATTAAAGAAGCCAGTAATACAAATTATGCGATGACAGGGACTTTATTTTGTTCTTTATTGTACTTCCAGAACCTAAAACATACAGCCTCTGTTTCTGACATATCAAAGGTACTCAGTAAATATTTGTTGAATAGTAATTACAATTACTATTTCTTAAATGCTAATACTCTCATCTACTCCATTTTCAGAGGCAAGTCATCTGTTTTCTGCTTAGGTCTAACTTGATTATTTGTGTTAAAAGTCACCAGAAACTTTTGGACTATGTTCCTTAGTCCATGGACAAGAAAAATTGATGCTTGCCTTTCGACTGACAAGGGTTTTGTGCGGTTCAGGGAAGATGATTGAAATGAAAATAGTCTGTGAACTCTAAGAGGCATACAACTGGCAGTGCTAAGTCCTTTGTGCAATAAGGATATAGATACACTAAATACAGAAGGCTATATAAATATATTAAAGTGCAATCATTTTAAACTGGTTAAATTGCAGAAGCTATCAAAACCCTTTCCATTCTCTTTAAACATTCAGAATGTATTTGATTTGACCAATCTTTTTATAACTAAAACTCACTGTACTCTTCTCCCGCCGTCCCCCCCACCCCGCCCAAAACAGATAGAGCAGGATGCTACTAACTGACATGTATAAACTACAATCAGGGTTTAACCTTTATTTGGTAAAAATGTGTATAGAAAATGGAACTGAACTTAAAACCACAAGGCTTAGATTTCAGTTTCAGCTAATTTGCCTGACCAGCAAAGAGCTTTTACGTTGTAAAACTCACTATGGTCTTCTGGGAATTTACTGTGTGAGACCCTCTTCTGAAGCAGTTCATTTTGTTTTCACCCAGTCAGTTCTCACAGCAGCTCTCTGAGGGAAAAACCACACCTATGGCTTAGACATGGAAACCAGAGCACAGAGAGGTCAGGCCACATACCCAGGTCACACACTAGGTGGAGGTTGTACTGGGACTCTGGTAGGTAGTCTACCTCCAGTGTGCAAAGCTTAGAGGCCTTAACATCCTTCTGAAGGTCCTTGTAGGACTCATTAATACATATGAAGCTAATAAGATAAAGACAAAGTCTGGGCTGGTGAGATGGTTTTGCTGCCAAGCCATTCTTCCCAGGTCTGACATGGAGGGTTCTCATTCCCACACAGTGTCCATGGCATGTACGTATGCATGAGCAAAAAGGTAAAGTAAATGAAAAACATAAAAACCTAAAAAAATGTACCTTCCTTAAACAATTTAAATAAAAGTGAGCGCATGGGTGCGAGCACATGCGCACGCGTGTTTGTGAACACACACACACTCCTTGACTTTTTTTTTAAGCCAGTTTAAACTGTCAACCACACTGTTCTGCTGTCTTCATTCAGGAAGTAGGGAATACAGGAGAGAGGGAGGCCGGTGTAAAAATCCAGAATAAAAAGACGGCAGCGCTCCACAGTGGGAGCAGTTCAAAAGACTCCAGTATAAAGACTCGATGCAGAAAAGACCTTTACATAAGCTCCTTGAATACTAAGAAGAAAGTTATGAAACATCTCAGAGTTAATACCAAAAGATCAATGGATTAAATGTTATCTAAATATATTTCAATGCAACAGAACCTTATGTAATCTCAATGGGAATTCTGATTTTGGCAAGGGTTTCCAAGCTTTCTTTTTCTGTCGACAAGGATAAGTTTGGTTGTGTGTGGGCCAACTGGAGACTAGATTATTTTTTTCTAATAATATTTGTTTCATTCTAAGAAACATGAAAAATTACAGCAAGGCTTTTTTTTCATTATCAGCAAGGACAGTACCATTAATAACTCTAGTTGAGCAATGATACAAATGCATTTCAAATGCTTCTCTAGCTAATAACTCACCAACTAACAACCGGACAAACAGATTTATGAGAGTAGCAGCTCACAAACTGTGGTGGGTTGCTTGTTTGGAAGGCTAGGATTGCAAAGCAGAACACGGCACATGCCAGGCAAACACACTACTCCTGAGCTACCCGCCTATTAATGCCCATAAATTATGAAACACATACAATTGCCCTCTACCAACTAAAATATGTTTGGCTCTATAACTGTTCTCCTTTTATCTCACACAGAGAATTCAAGAGAAAAAAAATAGTATCATTAGTATCACTGAGAAACATATTCAGGTGTAGAATTACTGATTTTTTTTGACAAGCCTACAAATAAGAAAAACAAACAAACAAACAAACCAATAACATAATAAAATGAAAGGCAAGAGAGTTGCATTCAAGTCCTGAAAACGTGTGGTTAGGTAGCTTGTAGGCAAATCTCACATGTGGTCTTCAAAGCTTGGAAACAAAAGAATTCATCATTCCCAGCCTTTTCTGTTCAAGATGATACCCTGGTAGACCCTAGAAATCTCAATACTGGGCACAGAATGTTGGCAAGTGGAGGGTCTAAGCTGCCTAGACAAGCCACCACTCAAGTGACTGTTGATAAGTCACCCGTCCTGTCTCTGCTTCCTCATTAAGGTCTGATTGCAGCCTGATACTGGATGACCAGCCAGTTGAGACCAGCTTCTCCCACTCAACTTTATTCACCCAGATATCCAGAGTCATTCCCAGCAGAACTGTGGATTCCAAAGTGTTCCATTGCTCTGGGTTTGTCTTTTCCGTTTATTAGTGCCTGCTCATGGAGCTGCTGAAAGAAAATGAAAACCTGCCAGAAGGGGATGCCTGAAGCTACTGTCACTTGCTCAGGATGACTAAAAGAGTCAAGATAATAATTTCAGTTACAAGTTTATAACTTCTCTAATACCTAAATCACTTCAAATTCCCAATGCCAATGATTTCCTGGGGATTAATCCTATAGGTAATTTCTCGTAGCAGGCAATAGACACAAAGCATGCCCAAAACCAGGTAACCAACTAAGATACAATTGACATTTGGGCCTGATCAGTCAGTCTTTCCTGTGGGTGGCTGTGAGCCTGGGAATGTTTAGCAACATCCTTGGACGGGCCTCTAGATGTCCATACTGATAGGACTCCTACAAGAGGTAGCCATTCAAAGACGTCTCTAAGATGCTTTTCTAGATAAGGTCCCCTCCCCAGTAGAGAACAACCAGGTTCCAGGATCTAAAGAGGAACTCTTGGTTTTACTAAGTTTACATGACCCTTTTTCGAAGCTTAAATGCCATCCATCTTAAGCTCTAACTAAAAGGCAGGACAAAGCTGCTGCTTCTTGGATACAAAAATATAAACAAAAGACCTACAAAGCTTCCCCTCACAAGTCTACTGTGAATAAGGCAAACTCCTCATTGAAGACTACTTCTCTAGCAACACCAAGGGTATGTGGGAGCACGCAATGAAAGCAGGCTATGAGATAGGCAGGTGGAAGTTCTAGGAGCAACTAATCCTGCAGGTAAGAAGAGGTGACCACCTCCGGGGCAGCTGGCCACCAACTCCGAGCTGGGCTGCCACTGGGCCTCCGGGTGCCGGTGCCCGCGCCGGGCTCCCGCCACGCCCACCGAACGTCACCCGTTACACAACGCCCCCCCCACCCAGCTTATGCAATTCTGCCCTCCCGCGGCTTCTAATTGCCCCTGTGACTTTAGTGCACGACCAAGGTAGACGCGGTACCCTCGTGCCCCGCCAAGCCCGGGGATGCTCGCATCACCCTGGCTGGGGTTCCCGGACAGCGCACAGAGGGAAGCCTGTGGCCCCCACCCACCCCGCGCCCAAGCTCCGCGGCCCCAGGTCCCCGCTCGGCGCGCGCACGAGGGAACCTCGCATCCGTGCCCCTCCCCGCGCCGCGTCACTTGCGGCTCCCGGGCGATCCCCACCGTGACCGAAGCACCCCGGGGCGCCGCCCCCTCCCACACTCGCGATCCCCACTCGCCCGGTCGGCCCCGCGGCCCCGCATCACCTGCTCGCAGGGCGTCGCAGGCGGCGGCCAGGGCCTCCCGGTAGCGCCCTTCGTGTAGCAGCTCCCCGAGGCGGCCGGCCGCCCGCGCGCGCTCGCGCTGGCCCGGGAACCACTTCTCCGCCAGGTGGTTGAGCACGACGCTGGTTCGGAAGTCGGCGATGGCGGCGGCCAGGGGCGGCGGCCGCGGGGTCCCCTCGGAGGCGGCGGCGGCGGGTGGCAGGCGGTCCCGGCACAGGCGGCAGCGGGCGCGCAGTTCCCTCCGTAGGCAACGGCGGCAGTAGCTGTGGCCGCACGGCACGGTCACCGGCTCGCTTAGGAAGCCCCGGCAGCCCAGGCAGCTAAGCAGCCCGGCCGCGCCCGCCGCGGGTGCCGCGCTCCAGCGCAGCCCGTGGCGGAGCCGGTAGCTGAACACCAGGCAGTCCACTAGAGAACCGAGGCGCTCGGGCCTGGCCGGGGCCCCGCGGCGCAGCGCAGCCGCGAACGCCTCCAGCGCTCCCTTCAGGTGGCCGCCCAGCGCCAGCAGCTCGCCGCGGCGGAGCAGAAGCTCCCAGCGCCCCGGCTCCGCGCCCGCGCGCTCCAACCGCTCGCCGCCGCCCACTTCCCACGGCCCGTTCCGGCTCCGCGGTCCGCCGGCCGCCTCCCGATTCCCGCCGGGGGACGCCCTCGCCACAGCCGGAGAAGACATGGCCCGTGGAGGGCTGCTCTGCTGCCGCCGCCCGCCGCCACGGTCCGGGAACCTCCGGGGCGCGCGGCTCCGCACGCGGCCGGCGAGCAGGGGGGCGTGGCGCGCGGACATGGCGGGGCGGCGCGCGCCCGGGGAGCCCCTAGGGGCGGGGCCTAGAGGCGAGGGGCGGGGCTTAGCGAGGCGGAGCGGGGCGGGCCTTGGCTTCCGCGCCCGGCCTCCCGACACGCGGCCGGCCGCCCAGTTCCCGGGAGCTGGCGGGCCGGTCCCGCCCTGTCTGAGCCCCTCCTGGAGTGGGATGCGAGATCAGATGATCCCCAGCGGGGATCTAATTGGCTTCTCTGACAAGGAGGGCTTGGCTCGTGACTGAACAAAGCCCGAAGTCTCCCGGGCGGTTTCGAGCTGACACCTCTTGTAACCGTGGCCGGTCCCCAGACCTATAACGTGGGCGCTGTGCAGTTCGTATGTGCACGAGCAGTGCTGTGACCCCCCAAACCTGCAGCACCTGAGTAGGTACTTCGACTCCTCCTGGCCATGGAAGGAAGTCTTGGGTGGGTCTGGATGCCCTGGGTTACTGCTGGCCAGAACAGGCAAAGGGATTGTGAATGAACGGTGTGATTACTTTGAGACTCAAATCTGAAATCGGCCAACTTTAGACACACACACATATTCCACGTCCTGAGACCACTTCCTCCTAGCACGCAAGAGTTTTCCCCTGGTGCTTGGTTAGTGCTGACTTGTGATGAAGTTTATTAAGAGTACGAACCACAGGAATGAACTGTCCAAAAGAAGCCCGATACTTTGTGAGCGACCTTTAAATTTTAATTTAAAAAATGCAACACACCAAAAAAAAAACAATTAAACTATTAAACAAACAAACAAACCACACATGCACTTAGAGAGTGAAAGTCTCCAGGTTCCTCAGGTGGGCTCCACATCCTTCATGCACACAAACCCACAGTTGCTTAAAGTTTTTTAAATGAGAAAACAGGAGAAAAACATTTTCCCTGTGGCAGAAACCAGAGATCACTACGATGCAAGCATTCTGCAGCTTTGTTGAGTGAAGACAGTTTGGCTCATATGTAATGGATTCTAGTTCCTTTAAATGTGACAGCATCGAGTTTAATATTCTCAATGGAAATATTTATAGATGTGATTACAGAGCGACTGGGTTGATAGTGTAGGAAGAGATTTAAAGCTTTTGGTTCTTTTTCAAATACTTGGTAACAGGAAAGGAAATATATTTGTCTGAAACCATACAGTCAGTATTTACAAAGATTTTAGGATCTGCCCAGGGTGACAATATTATATATAATGTTTAATAAACAGTTTTCTTTCTTTAAGTTTTTTTTTACATGAGATCTTCAAAATAAAGCAATTGGATGGAATATCAAAGGTTATGCTGTCTAAAACTGTCAAACACGAGTTCCTGTTTTACACAGAACAGGTAATGAAGGTCTGAAAGTGTCGTTCTACTACACAGTGAGCACACTTCAGAAAAGAAAGAGGGGACAGGAACAAAGAGGCAGAGAAAGAACAGTTGACTTAAAAACAAAATCCCAGGGTCCTGTTCCAGCAGTGCTGCAGAGACTGTCTCTGAAGAAAGCTACAGCTGGGCAAGGAGTACTTCCTCATCATCTGGGATAGGGAGCATGGGCAGTTCATGAGCAGAACTTTAAATCTAAGTTATGTAGGGGCAATGATGGTTACCTTGTTCCTGTAGCTTTGGAATCAAGCCTAGAACCTCCTGCCTGCTACACAAGCCCCCAAGCCTGGAACCATAGCCATGGCAGAACAATGACTTTAGTTAGATGCCTAGACACTCATTGGAGACTTAAAAGTCTAACCAGTATAGCACATGCGCACGAGTACACACATGCGCGTTCGCGAGTACACACACACACACTCACTTGCACACTTCATTCTTGCCAGGCAGTTTTCAAACTGTGCCCTAGCAAATGCATTCAAAATTAGAGACAAAGTATAAGAAAAAATGATAAACATGATAAACAAATAGGTCTTTTCAGTTACAGTTTCAAATCAAGTTTGTTATGAGATTTCTCTCAAAAGGAAAATGTGTGTCTCGGAAAATGAGATGAGGGATCACCTTGTCCTTTGCAGTCTTTTTCCCTAATGACTATGACAAATACACTCGATCTGGCATGGAATGAAGTGACACAGTTATGACAAGTTGAGGAGGAAGGGGATGGGAGGAACTGTGTCCTGTTCCCCATGGCATTTGTGAATGGTTATAATTCATGTTTGCTGGTTTATACATTTACATAACCTGTTCTCTCTCATTTATGTAACTTATTTATGTAAGAGGCTGTACTTCCACTGTGGCCTTTGTATGCAGCACAACTTCCCCGATGAATCAGGAAGTCTTGGCACAGTAATCGCTGGCATTGTAATAGGTCACTCTTCTGTCTCTCTGTGACACCAGAAAGGGTATGCCCTTTGATGCAACTGCCTCTTAAATTCAAGGAAGAGAGAAATTAGTACCTTCATTCATTTTCTGAAACTTACCCTTTGGTCTCTGACTCATCCAGCAGACTGGGATGGAAAAGAGGGCGTCCTGCAAGCCAGCCTCTGGGCAGGAGGTGTCTGACAGGCTTCGAGGGCTCTCTCCTTTCTTCCAGCAAGCATCGATGGCTTTTGTCATTCTTTGCTAATGAAGTAGTAAAATCAGGGGATTTGTATTTCATTTCAGCTTTATTTTTTAACTGTTGTCTTCTAAAATAGATCGGTTATGTAAGAGAGTCAGAAGAAAAGCGTATCTGTTTCCTAATTTGGAAAATGCTTATCACCATCATTCCGTGCTTATCCCTCCTGCCCACTGCCGCACCCCATGCCTTTTCCTGATATAACTAGACTGTTAAGAATAACATTGACACAATAGTTTGCTTGCACACAATGCAGGAGGACATTTGAACCTCCTGTTTGTACAGTCAGTCAACTTACCATTTGTTTTCCACATTATCATTGAGAAAGAAAAACAACTGACCGGGGAATGTAACACAAAGAGTATATGCCTAGGTAATCCTGTGTTCAACCATATATACATATACATCATACAAACATGCATACAAACATGCATACATGCATACATGCATACATACATACATACATACATACATACACAGTCCATTTTCTGGTTCAGGCTAATGACATTCCTAATGCTAGAATCTAGCTAATGTACTGAACACTAAACCATAAAGTTTTATACAATCTGCCTATATCCAGTAGTGTTTCTATAGGTGATATCCAGTAGTGTTTCTATAGGTGAAGTGCCTCTAGAAAGGCTTTCAAAATCTACCTTCTAGTTAGTCTTGTTCATTATGTATGAGAAAGCAGAGCTGAGAAATTACTGGCTTGATAGAAGCCCTCTAAGGAAGGGAATCCAAGACACCTCAGCGCTGACTGTATTCCGTGGGCGGTGGGAAGAGGTCACCTGCTTTCCTGGCTCCCATTTGCCATCTGTACAGAGGACAAACTAGATGCTGTTCTGAGTTGCCCCTGGAGCCTAGCTGGAGAGCTTTATATGAACACAATGGCAGGTGGAACAGTGTTTCCCAAGCTCGGGGACACAGCAGTGTGACACCTGATGCAAATGGAACAGAAGGTAGAGGCTGAAAGGGAGGGGACCGCATCTTGAGAAATGGTTACTTTGTTGCGGCTGCCTGCTCAGCCCTGCTCAAAGCAGGTGGAGTGAGTGAGCCTCTGGGACACTCAGTCACTGGACAGGGATCCATTAACCCGTACATATCTGCTTACCTCTACCATAAATCTAGGAGAGGCTGGAAGAAAGCCTGGGGAGGGGGGGCTGGTTATGTAACAGGCATTTGTAAGGAAGTTTATATAAGATGCTAAAAATACAGTATATGATCGCTGCAGTGGGGTTCTAAGTGAAAAGCCCTATTGGGGACAACCTGAGTGGATTAAATAGAGGTGATCCTGAACAGACAGAGTCGAAACCCAGTTACTTGCAGGAGTGACTGTTACAGTACAGTTTACTGCTCACTAAAACTGCTCGTTATCCCTGTGAGGAACACTTCAGGGTTTTAGGAAGGGCACCTGCCCCAACTCTTTAAAAGACTCTAGGAGTACTCAGTGTGTAATCATTATTCAGTTTTATTATATTCAAATGGATGTGTTTCCCAAGCGTTTGGCTCGTAAGAACAAATAAGCACATTGATGCACTTCATATACTAGTTAAATTCTAAGAACTAACTACCCATGAGGTCCTGAGTATTTCCTACTTCCTTAGTACCATTATCATCTGAACACACACACACATACACACACACACACACACACACACACACGAACGCATGCACACGCACGCGCACACAGGTACACATTTACTGCCCTCTAGAGTATAAGCCCCTTGGGATCTGGGATTTCTGTCCACATGGTTCACTGATAGGTCTCTGGCATGAGTAGGAAGTCAGTAACTGCTTCAGGTACTCGCTGAAGGAGCCCACCCACAGATCGGAGATAGCATCTCATAGTCTGCTGTCCTATTAGCACCAAGAACCTATTATTCACACTGATGACTAGAACAACTTTTTCCTTCCCCTTCCTTTCAGCTGTGGATTGAAGGCATCTTCTTAAAATTCAGGGGGAGAAGCGTAGCCTTCTGTGTGATGGAATTAGGAGTCTGGGAAGTCACTGGGAGGATGTGACACCGGAGCCTTCGTGAGTGACAGAACTTTACTAGGAAGTCAGAGGGCTTGCTTGGTCTCTTTCTATTGTTATTATTATGTTTGTTGTTGTCATTGTTCCAGCATACAGACAGAAGGAAGCCTCCATTATATATCCTACAGGTCCTACTGGCTGATTAATATTTCATTATCACTGGCTGTCTTAGAAACCTAAGGTGCCACTTATTGCCCACCTCTCTGTATAGTGTAAAATCCTTGTAACTTAGATAAACCTTTTTTTTTTTTTAGAATGTACAGACCTCTAGCTTTTACCAATATAAAAGCTGAGAATATCATCAG